ATATATGTAATTTCTATGCAGCCAAACTTCTGACATCTTCAATAATTTGTTTTGAGCTATGGAGAAAATGAGCTGAGGCATTGCAAAAGCTAGAAAAACACTGGATAACCAATTTAGATCTCCAACCTAAAATGTTCAGAGTTTTTCTTTGTTTGTGGTGCACGGTATCTAAACCAAGACCTTGAGCATGCTAGGCTAGCTCACTACCACTGTAATTGAGTTCCCGGACAGCCTGGCTATACAGAGATACTCTGTATCAAAGAATAAATATCATGTGTTTATGTTGGTTCAAATGTGGTTTAAGAGGGATAATACTTTTGAGATAGTTGATTATAAGGTTGCTTTCATTTGTAAGACAGTTTCATTCATTTCAGTTTTACATCGACTGTAACTGTCAAAAAACATTTAAACCTTATTCTTCCAAGTAAACATTATCTTCCAGCTTGATCAAAACATGGAAAACATGATATGCTATTGCATTTTTTCATGCTTTTAAATGCTTTTCTTTAAACAGATGTGTGTTATTGGACCTTTATAATTTCCCTTCAACCTGAAAATATTTTAAAATTTCTGGCAGGGCAAGTCTTGTGGGAGTGAGTTCTTTTAGACTTTGTTAGAAGAGAAGCTTTAAACTAATCTTTCACTTTGAATAAAACGTTTCAGATTACAAAATTCTAATTTAATTTATTCTTTTTTCCCTTACATCAGCTGCAACTGTTCATTCTACTTGGTAAGAAAATCTGCTATTACAGTAATTATTGGCCTAGTTCCTCTATAGGTGAGCTAAAAATAATTTTAAAACAATGATCCCTGAAATTAAATAAAAATAGTAAAACACAAACTATTAAAATAGTGAAATGAATACTTAGAAAGAGCCATATAGCAAAGAGTGCTTACATAAGAATCAGCACACAAATTTTTATTGATAAGTCTAGTGATGAATCTCAAGATCTCAGAAGATCATGAACAATCCAAACTTCAAATAACAAAGACTGGTGACTAAATAAATGAAATAGAGACTAAAGGAAGAATACAAAGGAGGGGGAAAGCCAAGAATGAGTTCTTGGAATTGATAAACAAATGTACAGACTTTTATCTAGGTATACAAACCAAAAGAAAGGAAAGGGACAATCCAGAAAAATGAAATCAGAGGGGGCGATAATATAATAGATCCTGGCAAACTTCAAATAATTATTAGGGAATATTTTGAAAAAGTATATGACAAAAACTAGGAAAATTTAGAATAAATAGGAAATTATATGGATACAACCCATATAAATTGAAAAGTCTAAATGAAAAGCTTTAGTATATCAATTAGAAGGAATGAGATTTTAAAATCTCCAAACAGGGACTAGAGAGATAAATCAAAGGTTAAGAACACTGGCTGCTCTTGCAGAGGACCCTGGTTTGGTTCCCCAGCACCCCCTTGGTGGCTAGCAATCATCTGTATTTCCAGTTCCAGGAATCTAACACTTCTCCTGGCCTCTGTGGGCAATGTATGACACCAGTGCACTTATATACCTGAATGCAAAACACTCATACACATAATATAAATTAATAAAATTTAAAAGTCTCCAAACAGAGAAAAGTAAGATCCTGGATATATCACTGTTAATGCTATTAGACTAGTTGCCAATAAAATACATGCACATCAAATTCAATAGCACCTTAAAAGGATCATACATCATGGGGACTGGAGAGATGGCTCAATGGTAAGAGCACTTGTTGCTTTTGGAGAGGAACCAAGTTTGGTTCTCAGCTCACAACAGCTTGTACCTCCAGCTCAGGGGATCCACCCCTCTTCTGGCCTCCACACGCATCCACATTGATGTGTTCATGCATACATGCTTACATATACAGAAACAGACACATAATTAAAACTTAAAAAATTACTCTTAAAAGAAAAAGATCATGTGCCACTCTATCATGATCAAGTGGGTTTCCTGCCAAGGATGCAAGAATGGTTCAACATACACAATTCAGCAAATCATTTTTTGGTATACAGAGAATGAAAGGAGAAAAAATACATGATAATCTCAATAGATGCAGAAAGGCCTTTGGTAGATTAGAAGTTCCTTGGTGATAAAAGCCATGAACAAACTACATATATAAGAATCATATGTCAGTATAATAAAGGCTATCTATGATGAATGCATAGCCTGCATCCTTTGAAATGGAGAATGAGTAACAGTATCTCCTTGAAGATTAGAAAAAAGACAAGTTTCCTTTTCTGAGACTTATTCAATATAGAAATTTTACTCATAACCTTAAGCCAAGAGAAAGAAATTAAAGAAATAAAAATAGTAAAGGAAGACATAAAATTATCCCTGTTTGTTGATGATGTGATATCTAGCAAAAAATGAAAATCTTGCCAAAAGTAAACTGTTAGAATATGAAATCAATATACAAAAATCAGTAGCCTTCCTATATGCCTATAATGGGACTCACTGAGAAAGGTAAGAAAAACAACCTATTCACAAAGCCTCAAAAATGCTGTCATAATCTCTGAACTTATTTCAAACTTTTGTGGAAATGGGAGAGAAAGATTATAAGACCTAGAGGTGGTAGATAACCACAAGGAAACAGAATTTTCCACACAGCTGGTCAGTTACTCATATGAACTCACAGCAACGGTCACTACATGCACAAGTCCCATGCAAGCTCAAAATCTCAGAAAAATCTCAGCATAGACATGAGGAAATGGGTTAAAAGCCCCAATTCCACCTAAGAAAACTGCAGTAACTGATTTCTGAGGGAGGGGCAGAGGCAGTCCTTTTCAATCATGGGACTCATGGCAGGTCAACCAGACTCCAATGAATGGACTCACACTGAAGAACATAAATTAGATTCTACAGAGAGGCCTTATTATATAAACTATAGAACACTAAATGGGGGAGTCAATAAGGAGAGGTACAAATAAAGGAGGAGATCTAAATATCAGGAAATTATATTGTATGAAAGTCACAGAAATTCAATGAAAAGAAAAAATTTTAAATGCATAGTCACAAACCTAATCAAGTTCACTAAGGTGAAAATGATAAAATACTATGCAAACTGATCTACAGATTTAACACAATCTCTCATCCAAATGCCCATGATACTTTTTGT